AATCATTAAATCTTATTAAAAAAAAGATTATAATTTACTTACTATAAATATTGGTTATTAAATAAAACTTTTGAACTCGACTATTCCAGTCATCAGCAATAAACATATTTCCATGAGTATCAAAAGATATAACAGTTGGATAATAAAATTGATTAGATGCCGAACTGAGAACTTCTGTACATCCTACTAGACAACGAAATCCATTTGGCCCGGAACCAATAATACGTTGATTGAGAGTATCTGCAATAAAAAGATAACCATTAGCATCAAGGGTAACTCCACTAGGACCATAAAGATCAATAGTTGATGGTGCTCCGGTACCGGCTACTGTAATACCATTTAATTGATTTAATGAAAATAATTGTATTCTATTGTTAGTATAGTCAGCAACATATAAACTTAAATCTGTATCAACATAGATACCACGAGGATAATAAAGTGCATTGGATGTTGATCCTGCACAATCTATACCAGCAGCAACTATCCACATATTTGAATTACTATTTAATGATTTTGTGACAACTTGATGATATATAGATATACAACAATAAATGTTATTATAAATATCAACAAAAAGACCCCAACATCCGCCTTTGACATTCATTACTGAAACACCAATCGTTGAATTTACTGTCCATTTATCGACTTGACTATTTGAATAACCATTATCAACATAAATATCACCGTTAACTGTAACGAATAGAGTATAAGGATAGGATAAACCACCACTAATATTCCTCATAGGTATGGTACTACCTTCAAGGAAAACCAGAATAATAAATTGAGACCATTCACTTAAATAAAGAGTATTGTTAGTATCAACAAATATACCGTATATCAATCCGGAACCGCTGCTGAAAAGAGTTATTCCATTAGCGTTCCAAGTAGCATAAGCGCTGAATGTTGGCCGATTGTATGAAAGACCTAAAAAAATATATTTAACAAAAATTCTTTCAATTTCTGTTAAATTAATCATTTGGCGTACAATTATCATTTTCTTACTTACGATCTAACTGAGCAATAACATACAACGCCTATGAAAGACTATTGAAAATCTCGAATATTTGTTTTCTTAAGTCAAACTCTCGAAAAGTCGTGATAATCTTTCATTTATTCTGTTCATTTATACTACACTAAACAGACACTGTCAACTAAAGTTGTTCTCACTTTCTGTAGCTAGATTTGCTTCCTTAACCAACAATACACTGAAAAGTAAGACATACTAATTAAATTTCATATCATAAATAGTTGGAAAAAAATACTTTATAAACAGCATACCTGTCGCAGAAGATGCATTTGTAGAATTTGTTGCATACGTAGATGTTGTTAAAGGAACTGATTGAGTACTATTCATTGATGTTACTATTAAAAATACATTTAAATTCTTAGTAAAAAGGAATCTGTAAATAATTACCATTTGTCATAGTTGTCGTTCCATCTATTAAAAAAAACATATATTTAAGTATCATCATTTTCTTTTCATGGGAGAGACTGTTGTTTCTATAAAGACTGATCAAAAGTGTAACAGCTCAAAAAATATGATATTAAATGATTCATATTTATCCTTCAACTAACGAACGACTCAGATGAAATAATTTTTTAAAGCTTAGAATGTACTATAACTTACTGCATCCATTTGTTATTAATAAAAACTTTTGGATGCGACTGTTGGACGTATCAGTAACAAATATATTTCCATAACTATCAAAACTAAGAGTAGATGGAAGATATAATGTGGTAGCTGTTGAACCATACGTTCCAGTACATGCCGCTACGCATCGAAATCCATTAGGACCTGAACCAATAATACGATAATTATAACTGTCAACGATAAAAAGATATCCATCAGCGTCAAGATTAACCCCAGTTGGATAATAAAGTGTAATAGTGCCTGTTGGTACTGTTGTTCCATTTAATTGTCCTGATGCAAATTTTTGAATTCGACTGTTATACATATCAGCTACATATAAATTCAAATTACTATCCACAAAGATTCCACGAGGATAATAAAGTGTAATCGATGTTGATCCATAAGTTCCCGTGCCAGCAACAGTATTCCAGATAGGCAAACGTGTACTCAATGATTGTGAGATAACTTTATGAGAGCCATACATTGTGCAGTACAGCGTATTAGTAATATCAATAAACAGACTATAACATGCTCCGCACATATACATCACTGCAACACTACTTGTTGAATTTAATGCCCATTTGTCAACTTCATAATTTGTATTACCATTATCGACATATATATCACCATTATCTGCGGCAAAAACGCTATAAGGATGAACTAAACCACCCGAAATAGTTCTTGTCGGTGTTGTACTACCATTAGTCCATACCTGAACCCGATAATTTGAATAATCAGCCACATAGACAGTGTTGTTCGTATTGACAAAAATACCATTAGGACTTGAGCCAACCGTAGTGCTAGTGGCAAAATTTATAGCCGTAGGATTCCATGTTGCATTTGCACAAAATTTTGGTTGATTGTATGAAATGCCTAGAAAAAATAATAAGAATAATTTTAAACCTAACAGTAAACACTCTGCATTCGATTAGTATATTCATCATGATCTCATACATGTTTAGTTACAAAGAAAGATTGTTGCATGAATTTAGACATCTGATTTTTACGGTAAGTATATTGACAATTTTAATAAAATACATACCTGACGTTTTCCCGATATACAGGAATAATAACCACATATTGAAAAAATCAAATAATGTCATATTATTTATCTGAAATAAAATTAATAAAATATATGATCTTTTATGTAATGCAATTCATTATAAAACAATACATCATCTAAACGTTTCTTAAGGCTATTTTATGAAACACAAACTAAAAGGATTATTCAAATATTAGAGGTAGGAATTAAATAACTCTACCGCCAATAAATATTAAAGACATTATCTTCATTGGATATTCTATTAACTTCATCACATTATATCCTACAGCGAAGGAAAATATTTTTTAATTAAAGCGCCCTCTATTATAAGGGGAATTTACTGCCGAGCACGAGAGGCGTTATCGATTGACATTAACTGATATTACAACAGCTAGGTTTTATCTCGCATTATAATCCTTCAGATACAGCACTAACAACTTTGTTTACTAGTATTTTTTGTAATATTCTTTAGAAATAAACTAAATAAAATATACCCATTAAAAACACGAAGAATATTGAAGAACATAGAATAACTTTTCTACATATTAAATTTTGTTTTATTACCATGTGCCAATGATATATTTTGATATTACATTTAAAATATTTGTATGTATTTACAATAATCTAATAAATATTTTTCTAAGATGTGTATTTCATTATTATTTCTCTAACCAGGAATACGTTGAAGTTATTTTATTTAATTAAAAAATATAAAATTTTGTATTTTCTCTTAGTCATCACACGATTTAAAAACAATGAATTTCAGAATATTATTTTTTATATTAGAAAAAAAAATAATACTTTTGCTTATTGCATTTTCTTTAACTCATTTTCATATTAGAAAATATAATTATGGAAGAAGGAAACTAATGTTTTTTTTTTGTTTCATGTTTCTATGGTAGAGAATAGTCATCTCATAGAATCATTATATTTTATTGAAGATCTATATCGAGCCTAAAACACCTGTCAACTCATATTTTTCAAAGAATATTGAAGGAAACATTAGTTTTTACTGAACCTGTAACTACCTTATATATCTAGGAATAATTTAACATTAGTTTTCAAGTGTCTAAAGCAACTTGTTAAAAATAAATCATATTTACTGTATGCTTTAAAACATCTGCACAATGTGACTTTGTATTATATAAAAAAATGAGAAAAACAATGCTTATTGCAATTAAATATAAGATGCTATCGCTGATTAATGTAATGCAAGAAAAAAAATTTTTCTTTAAACATATTGATGGTCATTAGTTTCAAATTGTGCAATACCCGTTGATAAATTTAATAGTTTAAATGAGTATTGGTGATTACAGTTTTCTAAATTCTATGTTTAATAAAAAAAGAAGAAAAATTATCGAAGTCATGAGAATATATGACCAGTAATATAAAAAAAAAATTATTCATTGGTATACGTAACTAAAGATCAGAAATTTGCCTATTCTATCGAAGTAATGACAGAATATTATAGAAATTAAACTATTAATTTCTTCTTAATGTTTGACTATATAGTTGAAAAGCGTTTTTTAATTTATCTTACTTGATATCGATGAAATGAATAATCAGTTGTGTTGTATTTGTTTAACTTAAATTTATGAAGAAAATACTTTTTTAAAAAGAAGAGAAAAAATTATGGTATAGGAATATTCTCGAGTGTTTTTAATAAATACTAGCCCTTTTACCTTATAGCATCACGTAGGTAACGATTCTATTTTTTTTT